CAAAAATATTGAACCGTTGTGCGTGACCTACATCCCAAAAATGTCAAAATAATAAGATTATATGGGCCAAACGGTCCACAATTATTGTAAGCCACATTTTTAAACGATTTTGTGATCAGATTATCTTACGATGGAAAGTAAATGGGTATTTAAGAGTTTTTAATACCTAATGAAATAGACAATGTTTACCGACCTCTATATCGAAAACGCGGCAATTCCCAGAATTTCTGTAAATAAAATAATTGTAGGTTAATATAAGATGAAACTATTTACAAAGTTTCAGGCGGATAATAATAATTTGATAAAAAGGGGCCTGTACCACGGACTGCTATCTTAAATAAGTAATTTCATTTCGTTACGACTTTTCATTTTGAGCTAGCCACAGAAACATACAGAGATCTTTTTGCGAAACAAGTATTTTAGACGAAAAGTAGGATTTTCGAATTGTTGGCAGTATTTTCTCTTGCTATATATTTCATATATGGTCTGTGAAAGAAATACAATTTACAGAGTTATAGCTATTGCTAGAATTACTGTTGCCCAAAATCGGTCTTGGTCTTGGACTTTGCGAGACCAAGACCAAGGCTTCTTAACTGTTGCAAGACCAAGACCTGGACTGGTGAAAAAAATAATTTTTTTTAATACAAATTAATTTAAAAAAGTTACTAATACTTGACAATCTTAGTTACTGTATGTTAATAATTGATATAACTAATACACTTTTCCATTCACCTCCCTTAATTTTTCATTCGGGCTTAATTAGGTTTCTCCTATCTAAAAAAATACAGCAATATCTCTATAGTAATAAGCTAATAAGTAACTGCAAGACTGTTGAGAGAGCCTTGCGCAAGACCAAGGCCATGACCAAGACTGAGTTTGCAAGACCAACACTCGTCTTGGTCTCGCATTTGGGCAACACTAGCTAGAATGAACGTGTTTAATGAAAAAAAAAAAAAAACAGAAAAATTACTTATCTTCCTAGAAAGAAATGAGCAAATAAACTAAGAGGCAGCCTTGTTGGAAATAATAAAAATAGAAATTTTTCTGAGAATTTAATAATTATTGAAATTCTATGCAGATTGAGGAAAGTAAGAAAAATAGAATTAGAACACAGTAAGGATATTATTTCCTATATTTCGTTGCGATATATTTCTTCATAACGGAGTTGAATAAAGTAAATAACGAGGCGCTATTATTGTGGCCTTAACTTGAGGTGAACTTGCTCCTCTCCCCCTCCCCCCATGCCTTGAAAGGGGCTTAGTGTCAAAAAATGTTAAGCCCCCGCGATTCCTGTGGAAGCACTCGCCCTGATGGCTTCCTTATCTTTATCTCAGTATATTATGCTGTAATAACCTTATATTACAATTCTCAGGATATACTCCTATATAGCTTCCTATTGTTTCTATGAGGGGCTGTTTCACTGTTACTACCCACTGCGTTACTTCCACCGCTCAATATAACATTATATAATAATATACTACTACTATACTAAGTATATAATAATTGGTAAATGGTTGACTGTCGTGTATAATGAAGAGAAGAATAGTTGGAGCGGTCAGTCAAAAAAGAAGACAAAAATAAATGATAATATTTATTTTTACATATGCCGACGTTTCGACCTGAAGTTCAGCCCATCATCAGGGCTAAGAAAAGAACCAGATAACAAGGTACGAGAAATATAAAAATTACAGTAAAATGAAGTTGTTAGAATAATGACAATAGTAAGAACAAGAGACAAATAATAATAACAGGTACAAAGTGTGGAATTATGAAGTAAACATAGTCAAAAAAGGTGACATAAGTATTGTAAAGGGAATCTTAGAATAAAATGTAAAACAGAAAAATATGAAGTTATATAAGAAATGGAAATAAATAGTAAAATTAAGATATATTGAATAGAATATTTAGATAGAAAATTGAGATGTTGTAAAGTCTATCAATATGTACAGACAAAGTATGAAATAATAAAGAGTTAAAACAGACTATGTCGACCTATGTTATATTATGTTGAACTATGTAATGTTTAAAACAGACTATGTCACCTTTTTTGACTATGTTTACTTCATAATTTCACACTTTTTACCAGTTATTATTATTTGTCGCTTGTTCTTCCTATTGTCATTATTCTAACAACTTCATTTTATGATTGAATTTGTATATTTTACTGTAATTTTTATATTTCTCATACCTTGTTATCTGGTTCTTTTCTTAGCCCTGATGATGGCCTGAACTTCAGGTCGAAACGTCGGCATATGTAAAAATAAATATTATCATTTATTTTTGCCTTCTTTTATGACTGACCACCCCAACTATTCTTTTCTTCATTAAGCATATAATAATATACTACTACTCTGCTAAGTATATAGTAGTATATTATATTGCTATTATCCTAAGGTATTGTATCGCTGATACTACATGTCACATTCTTACCAGGAGTCCCATATATCCATAGTATATTACTCTTTATGTTAGATGCCATTTGTAACAGACATTCTGAATAAAAATATTACTTATAAAGTCTTCACTGCCTCGGATTCGTTCGAACTGTTGGACATTTAGAATCTCTAGGGTATCCTTTTTTTATTTAACACTTTAAAATTGAAAAATGAAGAGAAGAATAGTTGGGATGGTCAGTCAAAAAAGAAGACAAAATTAAATGATAATGTTTATTTTTACATATGCCGACGTTTCGACCTGAAGTTCAGGCCTTCATCAGGGCTAAGAAAATAACTAGATAATATGTTATGAGAAACATAAGTAGTGATGGTAAAAAAAAAATAAATAAAAAAAATCATTCCACACTTTGTAACGGTTATTATTATTTATCTCTTAGTTCTTGTTATTGTCATTATTCTAACAATTTCATTTTACTTTTTTTTTTTCTTTATTTTTCTTTTTTACCATCACTACTTATGTTTCTCATACCTTGTTATCTGGTTATTTTCTTAGCTCTGATGAGGGCCTGAACTTCAGGTCGAAACGTCGGCATATCTAAAATTAAATATTATCATTTATTTTTGCCTTCTTTTTTGACTGACCACTCCAACTATTCTTCTCTTCATTTTTCAATTTTAAAGTGTTAAATAAAAAAAGGATACCCTAGAGATTCTAAATGTCCAACAGTTCGAACGAATCCGAGGCAGTGAAGACTTTATAAGTAATATTTTTATTCAGAATGTCTGTTACAAATGGCATCTAACATAAAGAGTAATATACTATGGATATATGGGACTCCTGGTAAGAATGTGACATGTAGTATCAGCGATACAATACCTTAGGATAATAGCAATATAATATACTACTATATACTTAGCAGAGTAGTAGTATATTATTATATGCTTAATGAAGAAAAGAATAGTTGGGGTGGTCAGTCATAAAAGAAGGCAAAAATAAATGATAATATTTATTTTTACATATGCCGACGTTTCGACCTGAAGTTCAGGCCATCATCAGGGCTAAGAAAAGAACCAGATAACAAGGTATGAGAAATATAAAAATTACAGTAAAATATACAAATTCAATCATAAAATGAAGTTGTTAGAATAATGACAATAGGAAGAACAAGAGACAAATAATAATAACAGGTACAAAGTGTGAAATGATGAAGTAAACATAGTCAAAAAAGGTGACATAAGTATTGTAAAAATAATTATTATTTCATACTTTGTCTGTACATATTGATAGACTTTACAACATCTCAATTTTCTATCTAAATATTCTATTCACTATATCTTAATTTTACTATTTATTTCCATTTCTTATGTAACTTCATATTTTTCTGTTTTACATTTTATTCTAAGATTCCCTTTACAATACTTATGTCCCCTTTTTTGACTATGTTTACTTCATCATTCCACACTTTGTACCTGTTATTATTATTTGTCTCTTGTTCTTACTATTGTCATTATTCTAACAACTTCATTTTACTGTAATTTTTATATTTCTCATACCTTGTTATCTGGTTCTTTTCTTAGCCCTGATGATGGCCTGAACTTCAGGTCGAAACGTCGGCATATGTAAAAATAAATATTATCATTTATTTTTGCCTTCTTTTTTGACTGACCACCCCAACTATTCTTCTCTTCATTATCCACGACAGTCAACCATTTACCAATTATTATATACTTAGGATAGTAGTAGTATATTATTATATAATGTTATATTGAGCGGTGGAAGTAACGCAGTGGGTAGTAACAGTGAAACAGCTCCTTATAGAAACAATAGGAAGCTATATAGGAGTGTATACTGAGAATTGTAATATAAAGTTATTACAGCATAATATACTGAGATAAAGATAAGGAAGCCATCAGGGCGAGTGCTTCCACAGGAATCGCGGGGGCTTAACATTTTTTGACACTAAGCCCCTTTCAAGGCATGGGGGGGGGGGGAGAGGAGCAAGTTCACCTCAAGTTAAGGCCACAATAATAGCGCCTCGTTATTTACTTTATTCAACTCCGTTATGAAGAAATATATCGCAACGAAATATAGGAAATAATTTCCTTACTGTGTTCTAATTCTATTTTTCTTACTTTCCTCAATCTGCATAGAATTTCAATAATTATTAAATTTTCAGAAAAATTTCTATTTTTATTATTTCCAACAAGGCTGCCTCTTAGTTTATTTGCTCATTTCTTTCTAGGAAGATAAGTAATTTTTCTGTTTGTTTTTTTTTTTCATTAAACACGTTCATTCTAGCTAGTGTTGCCCAAATGCGAGACCAACACGAGTCTTGGTCTTGCAAACTCAGTCTTGGTCATGGCCTTGGTCTTGCGCAAGGCTCTCTCAACAGCCTTGCAGTTACTTATTAGCTTATTACTATAGAGATATTGCTGTATTTTTTTAGATAGGAGAAACATAACTAAGCCCGAATGAAAAATTAATCACTACTTATGTTTCTCATACCTTGTTATTTGGTTATTTTCTAAACCCTGATGAAGTCAACCATTTACCAATAATAAAATTGAAAAAAATATTCAGTTATGCAGATATAATGCTCATTTAAAAAAACAAAATTGTTTTTCACTAGTGATGGACACCCCGAAATTCGATTGTTCTAGAAATGAAGAATGGTAAGTATATAGCTTCCTATTGTATCTACCTCGAGTTTATAGAGTACTGTTTCACTGTTACTGCCACCGCTCAATATAAGATACTATAATAATATAATATTACAATTCTAAAGTGTATAGCTTTTTTCTTAAGGTAATGTTTCATTTGTCATCCATTTTACCTATAATTTTTGTATGGTTTTCGACTAATTCTTCTGTTTCTAATTACAATGATGTATAAACAATCGTTTAATGCCATTTTAAATTAAGAAATTCACTATCGATATTTTGACTTTTGCCAAGCTAAATTGAGACAGACCACTGTGCCTTGAGTTCGCTATATCTTTATAGACAAATAAATTGCATTTTATCGACTTTTATTATATATATATAAAATATTACAATGTTTTTTTATAATTCGACCTTTATATATTATAACTTAAGATATGAATTATAGTCATGATTTTTTTTTTTTATCGATACATAACTCTGTTAACTTTGTGAAATTTATGTAACTTAAGTGATTATTTTCCACCTTACTGATTTTACGGCCACTTCTTTTTAAGATTTGTAAACAGAGAAACCTCATCTAATTAGTTTGTTATCAAGTGGTATCTTTTGCTTTTCAATAAAATCTTTGAACTAGAATAAATTTTTGATATTCAATTCGTTTTCTATTTTTTCTTTATTTAAGATACCAGCTATGACTGTTACAAAGTTTCAAACTTAAGGCATTATTTTTCTTCCTCTTTCGTTGTAATAATTATTAAAACATTAAGTTTTTTAAAAAGTATATTTTACTTTTTTAATGTTTATAGAAAGTTATCTAATAATTTCTTAAACTATATGCACTTTTACATTATACCCTATATTAAATTTGTTATCCTTTTTGACCCATTAACTCAAAAGAATTTTAAATGTCTTAAAATTCTTGACTTCAGCTGATTAGCAAAGCTCTAATCTAATGTCACAAATATATTTATTGTACATAGAGTGTGATTGTGATCTCTGAACACTATTATAAATGTCCTTGAGACAGATTGTAATATTTTTCAATAAATAAGTTAAAAAAGAAAAAAATGTCACAAAAAAAAAAAAAAAAATGAATATTGAGATTGCATTAATATTTTTTAAAATATAATAAGGTCAATTTTTTAATAAGTAATAAGCTAGTTATGAGAGTGCAATGGACCGAGACAGGACGGCAACAGCGCATTGGAGACGTGGCAACGTTGGGGCACTTTAATTGATTTTAAATCATTCAAAATAGAATATTAAAAATCAAACTTAGAAGTCAATATATTTATTTTAATTTTTAAACTACATATGTATGATTTCCATAAATAGAAAAAGGATAAAATAAGATCGTATCGTTATGTTATAGTTTCAGTTTTATATATAGACGATTGCTGAAATAATATATTTTTTTTTATTTGATGATTTTTAACGTCTCATCGACTGACAAAGTCATTAGCGACGATCATTATTCTTAGATATAACTTTTATTTTTATTTGTTGAATGTAGTTTAGAGTTTTTTCAATAGTACTATTTTCTTTGTATAATAATAGTTCATCATTACCGAAATGTTACATTAGTAGAGGAAAGTACTTAGAAGTGGAAACTTACTTTAAATAATAGAATAGAATAAAAGTGTCCCTTTTTTCATAAAAAGATGTTTCAAAAGTTATACTACATTACCTACACTAAATTATAAATATTTATATATATATATATATATATATATATATATATATATATATATATATATATATATATATATATATATATATATAAATTTAAAGTTAACTATTTAATTGGGAATAAGGTCACTTATAAATTATTTAATAAACTATTGAATGTTCATTTCTTCCATGTTTATTGACGTTTCGATCCCGGTATTTCCTTTTTATAAGTCTACGATGGGATCCTCTTCAAAGCTAGAATTTTAAAAAATAGAGCTTCGATCAGGGCAGGGACACACCGACAGTCTCAGCACCGTCCACTAGAACATATATTAAGCTACTGGTAGTAGCTTATATACGAATACTACAGTAGCTTATATACGAAACGTCAATAAACAGAAGAAATGAACATTCAATAGTTTATTAAATAATTAATAAGTGACCTTATTCCCATTTAATATTTAAGTTTAACGATATTTAAGAAACGATATTTATTTTGGAGAAAAACAAAAAAAAATTTTACCATTTGGGGGAGGGGAAGCTCCAGCCCGAAATTACTTCTACCTCCCGTAGGCTTTGTTTATATTATATTATTTATAATACAGCGAAATGTTTATATTGAAGATGATCATATGTAAATAAATATAAAATGTTCTACTTCATCAATCTCTGTATGCAATAGCCATACCCCACTTACAGTGGCTGAGTTTGGATCTTACGTGATTTACACATCTACTTATCTGTTCATACAATGATTTGGGTTGATTTGAGAATATTTCAAATTATGTGTGATGAATATTCAGGACGCAGTGTTTTAAAAAAAAAAAAAAATTAACTTTTTATTCGAGCCAACGTTTCAATCCTAACATGTCATCTTCAGGGCGTGGTTTGAGCACTGAGGGTGTTCAAGTACTGTCTGTAATTTAAAAAAAAAAAAAATTAAAAAGATTGCGTCCTGAATATTTATCACCCATCATATGTAGAATAGTCGACTAGCTTCCTTCAATAATATTTCAAATTATTTTAATATGTCCAAGTATTACTCGACGTTTCGCGTTAACCCATATCTATTGCAAATCGTTTTGCTTAGCTCTGCCACTTCAGGCTAGGTAGGAGAGAAGCATGTTCTTTATCAGGTCTATATTGACGTCAGTGATGATCCTGACGTTGCTGGTAGTGGACTGGTAGTCGACGAAGACCGCGCCGCGTCCATGCTCGCCGCAGGTCTCCACGTAGATCTTGGTGTCGGTCCATGCAGTGGCGATCTTGGGGTCCAGGAGGATCGCTGCGGCCGTCTGGTCGAAGGGCGACCACTTGGATATCTTCGGGAAGGTCTTGCCCTCGGCCAGGTTGAGGAAGCGAATCCAGTTCGAGTCGAGCCCTCCCAGCGCGTTTAGTCTCCAGTCCTTTTGGGGAAAAGGGAATAGAATGTATTTATATTAATATTAAATATATATATTATTTATTAGATATACATATTCCTGGCTCATAATAAATTTGCTATCTACCTAGGTATTCAGCAAATATGATATCAAGGAGAAGAAATTATAACATAAGAAAAAAAAGAATATTAATAACAAAACTAAAATATCTGGTGGGTCCACTCACACGACTTTTCTACCTATTTCATAACAGGTTGGATAAACTAAAGCAATGTAAACAAGCTTAAGTTAGATCAGTGTACAAATTTCAATACTTCCTAATATTGCTGATCAAAAACTTTTTGCCATAGCTTAGTATTGTCAAACAATAATTTCTGTTAAAAGTAGAGGAAATAGTGAAGCTTGTGTGATGCGGGCAACAGATTTTCTCACTATCACTTAGTCATCTTTATTCTCTCATTCATCCCTTTCTGACACCAGGATATGAACACGTAATCTTACATTGGAAATTGAATAGCTGTAACTTCGTTAATAGTTGTCCGAAATGAACGCTTTTTATATGGCATTGTAGGGAATTTCATTACCTTTCAACGAAAATTGGGAGAACATTATAGGAAAATTTTATCAGAATCGTTAGAGCCGTCTTTGCGCTAAAGTCTATAGAAAAACATGTTTTTCATTTATTGTGCGCAAGCTATTGCGCAGCAGTACCGAATTTCTGTCACAGGCATCAGTAGTCAAAACCCTACAAAATAAAAAAAGAGCAACAAACGTCAGTACCGAGAAATCTTGGCACAGACAGACAGACAGACCAATGGCTAAAAATGTGTTTTTCGGACTCAGGGGATCTGAAACGTATAGATCTGTCGAAAACCGCATGTCGGAAATTTGACCCGATTGCAATACTTTCCTTACCTAGCATAGGTAGGAAAGTAATAAGTTAAAAAAATGTATAAAAAATAGAATAAGCTGTATCATCGCTAATACTGGTTCGATTCCGATGATTTTTGTTTTGTTTTGTTGGTAATTTAATTACCTTTCAAAAGTTTTATTATAAATTTTACCGTATAATATATACTTAAGGAGTTAGGCCGCATAAAATTGTTCTTTTCTTTATAACTTTTTTTCCTGATTTTTTTCGGTAATTTGATATATTTGATTTCTTTGCTCTTCCCCATAGTTCGATCACATATGTCCAAAGTGGTTTAATGAGGACTTTATAAATAGTTAATTTATTAGTCACAGATAATTTAGAACGTCTGTCAAGTAGCCTAGAAAGAAGTCCGTATCGCTTGATTAAGTTCTTTTCTTTTTTGTTTTATGTGGTATGTCCATGTCAGTCGTTTGTCCAATTGGAGACCCCAATATCGTACAGTTTTTGAAGGTGATAGAGCGATATTATTGAAGAACACTGGAGGACAAGAGTCATGTTTAAGTGTAAATGATACTAATTGGCTATTAGACTTATTCATTTTTATTCCCCACCTCTTAGCCCATTATTAAATATAAGAGATATATAAAAAAATATCCCTGGGATGGTTATGTTTTAAATATTTAACTCTAGCTCACGTCCATATTAATAATATGGGCCACGAAAACCCTTCGGGTTCGTGCGTTTGATAATTCCTCCTCGTTTTATACAAAGGAAATTTAAAAAAAAAAAACATGTGCGCACAGCTTTCATTTACATCTCTACTTTCAATAGAAATTATTTTCTGTATTTAAGCTTATAATATTTTTATATTTCATTTATTCTTTTCACATAAGTACAACATAATAGTTTTTTAAAACAATGCTGTTACCTTAATTAGAGGATTTTAAATATTTTTTTACAAACTTAAAAATCTGGTGCGCGCAACACACAACTTTCACTTACCTCTCAACTTAGAAAAAAAATTATTTTCTGGCCATGTTGGGCCATTATAAATTTTTTTAATTACATTTTTAACTGAGCTAAAGCTAAAAGCTAGCTATTGTAGCTAACAAATCACGAATAATATTAAAATAACGAAAGTTCTACACCGGTTGATTATGGATTGTGCGATCCGTTGATTATGGATTGTACGACTATTAGTTATTAAACTGTTATTTTCTATTGCAAAGTTTATTAAAATGAAATTAAGGGATTTGTATTGTCTGTCATAGAAAGGTCAAAAGTTGTCACACTAATTGTAAATGGATTTTGTTGGAATATCCCAGAGGGAAAGTTTATCAATTTATTCACTAATTTACATTTCCAAAAGCTTACATGATGATATTTTCGGAATAAACGGACGATAGATACCTAAATATTTAAATATATATCAGGTCTAGAGTTATTAAACTACAGTAAATATATTTAAGTTTATAAACGTATCTATGAAATATTTTTATATTTCACTTTTTCTTTCACACAAGTACAATAAAATAGTAGTGGATACTGTTTGAATATCACAAAGGGAAGATTCACTAATTTAATTTTCTAAAATGTTACATGACAATTTTTCGGAATAAACGTTGATACCTAATTATTTAAATATGATATCAGATCTGGAATTATTATTCTGTAAGTTAGTAAATTTAATTTAATTTCTTTGAAAAAATGTGGTTTCCGTTAAATAATATTATTTTTCACAAATTACTATTTATAATTTTTCGCCACTCTCCATTAATTCTTTCTATATTAATAATAATAATAATAATAATGCTTTATTTATTCTGGGACGAGTCACTTTAGAATAATACAGAAAAACAAAAATGTGGGCTAAGGAGCCTCAGAGATATATAAACAAAAATATAGAGTAAGTAAATAGTCAAAATAGTGAAATAAATTATAAGTTACTTTCTAATTTGAATCAGTTAATAATAAAAACTGAAAAATTGAAAATAAACATGAAGTAAAAATAACGATCTAATAATTTATATACATATGTAGAGTAGTAACTATTTATAATTTTATGAGGACTGGCTGGATAAGAAATGATAGAACAGGTGGGTTTTAAAGGTAGAAAGGGTATTGGATTGACGAATATGAGAAGGGATGGAGTTCCAAAGGGATGAGGATCGGATAATGAACGACTGTCGAAAGAAACGGTTCGGTGAGCCCTTATATATAATTCAGAAGACCGAAAACGAACAGAGGATTTGAATATAAGGAGCTCGGAGATGTATGAAGGACGGTGTGATTGGATGACTTGAAAGAGGAAGGATGCCAGGAAATACGTCGTTAGGAAGGATAAAGCCTCTTCAACTCTGCATAAAAACGGTATTGTTATTATTATTATTATTAGCTATTGTTTTATTTTAGAATTCTCCACTTTCCAACGATATTATATGTATGCATTCTGACTAGTATTTCCCGAAATTCATTTTAGACCTAAATAAACATTTTCTCCTTATTCTCCACTTTTCAATTATCAAATTCTTTCAAGAGTTATATTTAGCATTTTTTCGTAACTCTTAATAATGAGACATAGTTAATTATTTAATATAAACCTAATTTGGTTTATACCAAGTATCTTTTATAAATTAAAAAAAAAAGGAATATATGAGTAAAACAAATAATGAAATAAAAAAACTCATATAATTCATCCAATTAAACCGTGTCAGACATTTCAATAAGCATAAGAGCTAATAAGCTAAAAACTATTTTATTTTACGTCATTAATACGAATCAAAATTGTTAAAGTCGTTTTGGAGAAATTTGTGTAAATATGTAATATGATGTTAAGTATGATTTGTGGTTGGTCGATTTTGCTGTGACATCTCAGGCATATTCTTTCCTTCAATATGTAGTGTCGGTTTCGTATTACTTTTCGTTTTTCGATTAGATTGTTCACAGAAATCCATACAAAAATAAAGCTGATATTTTGGCTTTGTTATCAAAATCAACTGAGATACTCCGTTGTCGCCAATAAATACGATTCATTTAAAAAAAAAAATAGGGATGTGGGGATATATTTATCTCGTCAACAATGAGGGATATGCAACGGGAACAATAGATTCGATAGAACGGAATACCATCAGATAATTCCATCGCTTGCAGAATCCTGATGTTAACATCCAGATCAAAATCTGATAGGTCTACGTTGCATAGGGTTTGTTGTCTGTTACGAGTGGGTCTTGTGTCGTTCTCAATGCATTCTCTACTCTACTGTCATCAGCCACCAATGGCTTTGAAATTAGATCGCTCCGTTTCCCCACTCAACCAAAAGATTTTTGATAAAAGCTTTTTATGTTTTAGATTGCATATACTAATTTCAAATTGAATCCTATCTTTGACAAGAGAAACAAAGGTGATAGTTTAGGTTTAGTTCTTTTATTCTCCGTTTTTTGTTATCGCTGCTGATAAAAATTTCCTACCATATAATGAGGGCACAATCAAATCATGGAAATGCTTCTAGTTTATGCAAATCTCGGAGGCAATAAGTTTGGGCAGTGGTCTATGTTAGAATATTGATTTACTTGTGTAAGAATAAATTATTGTATAAATAATAAAATAGTTCGTGGTACAGCCCCCCTTTTTATCAAATTATTAACATCCGCCTGAAACTTCGTTAATAGCTTCATATCTTCATAAGAAACTAAGTTAATAGATTACGACTTATCATCGTAACCTACAAATATTTTATTTGAGAAAGTTTTCGGAATTAGGGCATTTTCTAACTGGAATTCGACAAAATTTGTCCATTTAATTAGGTACTAAAAACTCATATGAATACCCATTTGCTTTCCACTTGAATCTTAAGATAATATGATCAAAAAGTTGAAAAGAAAAAAGGGGGCCCACAAAAATATTGGGCCATTTGGCCTATATGGTCCTCGTTATTTTGACATTTTGGAAGTGGAGATCACGCCAAACTGCGCAACATTTTTTTTTCGACTTTGTGATCAAATTATCTTACGATTCAAGGGGAAAGCAAATGGGTATTCATGAGTTTTTAGTACCTAATTAAATAGACACAATTTGCCGATCTCCAGGTTGAAAAAGCCTCAATTCGCCGAAAATATTCGCAAATAAAATATTTGTAGGTTTTAATGAGATCTAGCTATTTACTAAGTTTTAGATAGATCTTAATAATTTGATAAAAGTTTCATTACAAATAAATAAAGAGTATTGAAGTAGTTAAGTTGGCACCCCATATATTTTTAATCAATTTTATTGAAGTTGTGCTTCGATTTTGAGGTTCGAAATTGGAATTTGCCGATTCCCCATGAATTTATTTTCTTGAATAAAAGTTGTTTTGGGTTTTCAGTAAAAAATAAACAAATTAACTATGAATAAATGATATTTATTCATATTTCATATTTTAGGACTGGTAAAAAAAATATTGATTTTATTAATAAAAATTAAGACAAAATAGTTACTAAAATACTCGACAATCTTAGTTACTATATGTAAATAATTGGTATAACCAATATACTTTTATATTTAACTCCTCTAATTTTTCATTCGAGCTTAGTTAGGTTTCTCCTATCTAAAAAATTACAGTAATATCTCTATAGTAATAAGATAATAAGTAACTGTAATACTGTTGCGGGACTCTTGTGTCTCGGTCTCTCATTTGGGCAATACTAGGCTGGGCCACGAGAAATTCCTGTAAGACCTGTTCTTAAATAATTAGGATTTAGGTCTACGTAAACCGATGACTTCCTGTCCTTCAGTATCCTTTAATAACATCTCACTTATTCCTGTTGAACAAATCCGTTACCTAGGACTCCATCTGGACAAACGTCTAAGTTGGAATCCTCATACTGAAACGACAAGAAACAGCTCGACGTTTCCTATTACTTCAGCACTTACTAGACAAACGCTCTAACCTTCCAATTAACTATAAAAGACTAACTTACTAGACTATAATAAGGCCTATTAGGACTTACGGAGTTGAGCTGTGGGGCTCCACCAAACCTTCAAATTCCTCTCGCATCCAATCCTTACAATCCAAAATCCTTCGTAAAATCCTCAATGCTCCTTACTTTGTTACAAATAAAATCATCCATAATGACCTTAATGTTCCTTATGTATCAGATTTTGCCCAATCCAGATATCTGTCCTTCCATAATAAACTTCATAACCATCCCAACCCTCTTGTTTCTAACCTTGCTTCCTATTCAATTCCTGATAATCCTCCGAGGCGTCTGAAAAGAAGATGGCCACGTGATCTCCTAATATAGACATATTATTAGAGTGCTACCATTGGGTTTCTCAACATGTGTTTCATCTCATTATATCCATGTGCGAATTTACCAGATGTATTTTTTGTATACAGTTTTAAATATCATATAAATAAATAAAAAAAAGAATAGGATTTAGGTCTTAATTTCAGAGGGCGCTACGTAAGTTCCACTGTAGTCTGTCAAAGTAATCTTGTCTTATGGGAAGAACAGCCCTGATGAAGGCTTGAAATTTGGGCGGAAACGTCGGAAAATATAAAAATAAATATCATTTATTTATTTTTACTTTCTATTTTTGATTGACAAATAAGAGAGAAAAAATTGGAGTATAACGGTATTGTTCACCAGCTGTATATAGATTTTAAAAAGGCTTACGATTCTATTGACCGCCAGAAACTGTATAATATTCTAATCGAGCAGGGGATTCCAAAAAAACTAGTAAATCTAGTCAGGATGTGCTTGACGGAGACACTCAATAAAGTTAGAATCGGTAATAATTTGTCCGAAAAATTTGAGGTTCGTTCGGGCTTAAAACAGGGGGATTCTCTTTCGCCTGTCCTGTTCAATTTGGCATTAGAACATGCCATTAGGGAGGTAATGCGAACCGAGAAAGGGTTGGATCTGGGCGGGACAACATCCGTGCTGGGCTATGCTGATGATCTGGTACTGTTAAGCGAAGACGTTGAAACTATAAAACTAAATACGACAACGTTAATGAAAGCCGGTAAAGAACTAGGACTCGAAATAAACGTGGATAAAACAAAATATATGGTTAGCTGCAAAAATGGCGATACTACTGGTGATATCGATATAGATGGTAATATGTTTGAACAGGTAGATAAATTTAGGTATCTAGGTTCTACGATAACTAGAAAAAACGAAATTGAAGAAGAGATTAAGGTTAGACTGAAGGCGGGAAATGCTTGTTATTTTTCTGTGACAAAACTACTTAGTTCGCGCCTCTTGTCCCGAAACTTAAAAATTAGAATCTATAAAACAATTATCTTGCCTACAGTTCTTTATGGATGCGAAACTTGGCCGCTTACATTAAGGGATGAGCAGCGTCTTAAGGTTTTTGAAAATAAAGTATTGCGTAGAATATTCGGACCGAAGAAGGATGAGTTAACCGGAGAGTTCAGACGGTTACACAACGCCGAATTGCGTGAGCTGTATCCGGGTAATATAATTGAGGTAATTTCATCGCGGCGAATCAAATGGGCTTGTAAAGTTGTTGGGCTTAGTAACGAGAGAATTCCTAAAAGGTTAATATTTGCTGTGCCGAATGGTAAGCGTCCGAGGGGTAGACCGAAGCGAAGGTGGGAAGATTGCATTAAAGCCGATCTGAAGGGACTGGGTTTGGACGGCGAACGGTGGAGGGAGGTGTGTAACAAGCGATTGGTGGTGTCGGCATCGAACCTTCGGGTTCGCTAAGCCTTATTATTATTATTATTATTTTTGATTGAACACCCTTCTCTTCAACTCCTCTTCAATTTTTCACTACATTAACCATTCATCCACTATTAACTCTTTTTCTTTAAGATTCGTCGAAAATATATCTCTATATTAAGAAATACGAATATAGTGTATTATTAATAGGTTAAAAGGGTTATACCACATCGACGATACATACCAGCGGAAGGGAGTTGCTTTCGACGGTTTCCAGCGGAACCAACTTGATCAGCTTGTCCTGAGGAGCTTTGGAGAACACCAAGGCCGCGGCTTCCGGGTCGAAGACGATGTTGAATTCCGCTCCTGGCTTCTTGTTACCACCGCCTGCCAAATAATCCAAAGTGAAGTCTTAAACTGTTGAATAACAATTCTTTAATAAGTCGTGTATAACTATCTATATATAAAAAAAGTGTACACTTTATGAGTTATTCCGAATTACCATCCCTCGTAACTTTTTTTCTAGCTTCTTTTCGTTGAAGTATGTCATATAGATAAATTTAAGAGGCGTCGAGAAAATGACTTTAGCGAATTTTAATTGAAATCGGTACATTCGTTTAGGCGCTACAGTCTATAGTAATACATGTTTTTCGGCCATTTTAAAGTAAAAGGCTGATAGTAATGTCGATGAAGGAGGATCATCCTCGGGTGGCCTCTAATTTTATATCTTTTTTTTTTTTTTTTGTCTATCAAAAATATATTTGCGCCTGTCAACTTATTGTTGACAATCAGCAAATGTGATGGCGATGCATGGGGCAGGCATGGGGAAGCAAAGTACTCAGCAGTACCTCTTCCCTACCTATTTCCAATTGCTTAGGTTGTCGAAGGAAGGAGATCCTTCATCCAACTCCTTTTCAGTCTCCCCCTCATGTTCTGAGGTATGTCAGCTGTGGCCATGTCTCTTATAAGTCTGTTATTATGTCCATTTAAATTCGTGTGAAATCGTTGATAAAGGGACGTTATATGTTGTTCAACTGTTGGAGGTCAGTATGTAGAGTTTTGTTAGTCACGTACCAAGGTGCTTTTGTTATGAGTCGCAATAATTTTGATTGGAACGTTTGAAGTTTTTGTAGGTGGGTCTTTTTAGCGATACCGTATATTAGTGATGAATACGTCCATATGGGTTTAAGTAAGTATGTATATGTATTCAGTTTCTGTTTTAGTTTTAGTTTTGAGGATTTGGGAAAAAGAGAGTAATTTTAAGTAATTTAAAATTTTATATCTAAATTTGAAAAAAAATCTGTCCAGTAGTTTCGAAGAAAATGCACGGACGGCTGACGGGTAAACGAAATTGTATTCGTTTTTCGAATTCTACGAATCCTGAAACGTAAAACCTCAAATTTTGAGAGAGGGTTAAGTTTTTGAATTTTCTGGTCGATCACAATGGTTCTTTTTTGAAAATAATAAACCAAAAATATTTTAAAATCGCGATTTCTCTACTAATAGTACTTTGATTTCGATGAAACTTCCTTCATCTTTTAGGAAATGTTGCAATTGAAGAACTTTCTTAGTTACTTGTCTCTATGGCTTTTAAATGATAATGCATATAAAGCTAAAATTTAATTTAAAAACCTGATTCTGAATTAAAATCCTCTTAATTGAGCTCCATCTGCTGCCATCTATGTGATATTTATTTTGTTTTGTTTTTTAGTTAAAATTTTATTTTTTTTCTTTGTTTTCTATTTTTCCGTTCTTCATAGCACATTTCCTTATCATTTTCTGACAGACTGACTCTAAATTAAAATCCACTTACTCAAGCTCTATCTAGTGCTACAAATCCATATGATCCGCTGTTGATAAGACTGCTGTTACGAGACTTTTTACATTTAGCTACTCACCGTGATATTTTACTTTTGTTTTATAATTTGTTTTTTCAGTTTAAGTTTTTTTTTGTTTTTTAATCAAAAATTTATTTAGGAGCGTTTTGCGCTTTTTTTATGGAGAGTGAATTAGATTGATCCGTCAGATATCCGAACTGTTAACGCTGGGGTAAAGTCGGCTAGAGTTGACTGATTGAAATGTTTATATTTATGGATTAAAATATATCAGAAACTGAAAATCGGATCTACATACTGTAAGCGATGTAATATTTCAGCAATTCATACTCTTTGTAATCAGCTATTATTAAAAATTGTATCTTAACGCGATGCCTTAAGTTAGAAAGGCGGAAATGAAAAAAATAGTGTCGAAAACCAAATGATAACCACTTTTATGAAAGATGTGGATTAACATTTCTTAGAAATTAAAAATCAGACCTGCATACTGCAAGCGAGAGAAATGTTCAGTATTTCATCCACCTTTTTGTGATGTTTTCACTTCTATTGTGTGGTCTAAAGCATGCTTCTTACATTTATCCTTTTCTTTGTTCTCTATGTTTTTGCCATCTTCATAGCATATTTTCTAAATATTCTAGTTGATAGAAAATTAGATATAATAGATATAAACAAATATGCGTTGAAGTTATCTTAATCGTTAACTCTTGTCAGTACAAATTTAATTGTAACGTTGGAAAAGTTATGTTTGCGAATGAAGCCGTAGGCAATAGCTAGTTATTTACAAACTTATCTAAAACTTAAGTCTACAAATTTACAATTTTTTTTGTCAAGGATATTTTAAAAAAATATTATAAATAAGGAATATATATGAACTTATTTCTCTATAAATGATTCATTTTATATTCATCTATAAATTTTTGAAAATTCTTTACAAGACGAGATTATTATTTGGTGAGTTGTAATATTTATTGATTATATTTCTGAGCTCCCGGCACGTAAAACCCACTCACAGTTTCCTTCATTGCTGTATTATCTTTAGTTTAAATATGCATCTTTTACTATTGTAATAAATCCGTTTTAATTCTTCCCTTTTCACAAAATCTTTCAACAAACAATCCGTTCAGTGTAAATCAGCACAAATGCTTCCCATTTTACATAATTATTTTACATAATATTGTAATTGATTATGTTTCTATTTTATTTATCGGTTTATTATTTTTTCGCTATAATTTTAAGTGTATTTTTTTAATTAATCTACTCCTTATTTATTCAATAAAATATATTATTTAATTTATCACTCATTTGTTATTTGGTTTAACAAGAATCCTAACTAGTAGTTAATAAATATCTATAAAGTGTAAATAATTTCATTAAAATTTTTTTGAAAAAAATTGCCAATTCCTACAAGTGTAAATTTCTTTTCAGAAAAGGAAAAACTTAAATTTTCAAATGATTTGTTTCCATATTTAGGATACATATGTAGAAATTAGAATATTGAATCAATTCAATGTCTTTCTCTAAAGTTTCACAATTTTTTTTCTCGTATTTTTCTGGATTTTTGATATTCTCAATCGCATGCAAAATTATGTAACCTGATATTTTTAATGATCAAAACTCGTGGTAACTGTTATTTTTTAGGATATAATTATCATAATACACGATATATGTCATTTTTCAACAAATCGTTTCTGGGAACTATTGAGCATAAAAAAGGAGCTATAATATGAAATTACGGCGATAGAATGCGTTGGAGAGTTGTTTAAAATCTTACTCGCCGTTTTCTTGATATTCGGAAAGGTGTGCTGTAGTGGGAAAATGCTACGTTTTAATTTTCTTTACCGGTGTAAATCACTTTCAACTTGTGCGGACGATATTTATTTTGTAAATTATTTTTATAAATATCTATCAGTATTTATTTGCTACCTAATCTTTGCTTTGTCTAGATAAAGGTCTGAAACTTAGAGCTAACGTCGTTACAAAGAAAATAAATATTTTTTTGTGTAGTTATAATTAGCAATCCCCAATCAACTTCTCTTATTTTGAATTTATTTATTTATTTTTCTTCAATTTTTCTCCCGCACCTGTCATGGTAGTGACAATCAGCAGATTTGTGGTCATGTAGAAAATGGCATGATAGGCATGACGAAGAATGGAACCCAGCAGCACCTCTTCCCTGGTCTGTTTACATCCTAAAATCAGGAAAGGAGATCTCTCATCCAGCTCCTTTTCAGTCGCCTCCTGATGAGCATTTCAGCCGTGGCCATGTCGTTGATAAGTAGAGAGTACGTATGTGCTGGTCAATGGTTGGTTGTCTTAGGTCGGTATGTAAAGTCTTGTTGTTGACGTACCAGAGAGCTGCAGTTATTAGTCTTAAAATTGTATTAATTTAGCGCAACACTTATAGAATTGATATTTGTGAGATTATCCACACGTTTTTAATTCAACGTAGATTTCTTAGTAATTACGAAAATTTGTTTTCTTACAATATTAATATTTTAAAACATTTTAAATAATGTTATCTATACCAAGAACCTTTGAAGGATAAGCTGGTTATACCTCTGTAGGATCCTCCAAAAACGACCATTTCCTTAATCTCCTCCAGGAACTTAGGGTAAAGATGAATAGCGAGTGCGATGTTAGTCAGGGGGCCCGTGCAGAGGACCGAAACCTTTCCTACAAATTTAATTACCACATTATTTATATATAATTTTTTATAAATGATACAATAAACATTTTTAGGGCATTATATAAATAATCTAATATTATTAGTTTGAAAAAAAAAACGCTGCAAATTATTTCACAATGGTTTATTATATTCAAACAATTATACATCTAAAGTAACATTACCTCCTAAGTTCCAAAGAAAAAAAAAACAAAAGATGATTCCAATTATTGGACTAAACTGTTTTTCTTTAATCCTTAATAATATGCAAAAAAAAAAAAGCATTAGTTCAGTAACACATTTAAAATTTAAAAATCAAACCAAGGATATAACAATTGGAGTAGAACATATTAAAAAAACCCGGAGACCATATCTTTGCTCCTAAATGTCCAATTTTAACGATTTTGTTTTTATTTTTTAGGAAATTTCGTAAACTTTTAAAAAAATGTCAACAAAAATCAACAAACAAGTAAAAACTTTTCGAGTTATTCAGAATTTAATTTTACCATCCCTCGTAACTTTTTTTCGAGCTTCTTTTCGTTGAAGTATGTTATATAGATAAATTTAAAAGGAGACGAGAAAATGACTTTAGCTAAGTTTCATTGAAATCTGTACATTCGTTTAGGAGCTACAGTCTATTTTCTAATAAATAATCATTAACATCTGATTTAAAGATAAGTAACAGTTGAAGTGTTTAAAGGTTGCTCAAGTAACCTTACATATTTTTAGTTGAAAAAGTTATCTATGCAGACAGTGAGTAAGTTGATTCCGGAGGTGTTGATTGTAGTGTTGAAATATAGAAATGAGAATAAAGTTATAAATTTAGATACTTATTTCTTATGAAAGATGTTCTTAGGAAAGACACTTTATTTAATATCTGTAGATAAAAGTTTTTTTTAGTTAAATAAAAAAAATATATTTGAAATTTATTCAAATTTACACCTCTTCAGGGAAAAAAAACTGCAGACCATATCTTTCCTCCTAATTGTCCGATTTTAACAATTTTTTTTTTAAATTTCGTAAACTTTTAAAAAACCTATACAATATCAACAAAAAAGTGTATACTTTTTGAGTTATTCGAAATTTAATTTTACCATCCCTCATATCTTTTTTTCCAGCTTCTTTTCGTTGAAGTATGTAATTGCACCGGAGGTAGTGATTGCAGTGTTGAAATATAGAACTGAGAATAAAAGTATAAATTTAGATATTACTTTCTCATGAAAGATGTTCTTAGGAAAGACACTTTATCTGCAGAAAAAAGGTTTTTTTAGTTAAATAAAAAAAATATATTTTAAATTTTTCCAAATTTTCACATCTTCAGGGAAAAAAAACTGCAGACCATATCTTTCCTCCTAATTGTCCGATTTTAACGATTTTTTTTTTTAAATTTCGCAAACTTTTAAAAAACCTATACAATATCAACAAAAAAGTGTATACTTTTTGAGTTATTCCGAATTTAATTTTACCATCACTCGTACCTTTTTTTCCAGCTTCTTTTCAACGAAAAGAAGCTGAAAAAAAGAAGCTCGTTGAAAATTGAAGCATGTTATACGGATAAATTTAAAGGGCGTCGAGAAAATGACTTTAGCGAAGTTTCATTGAAATCTGTTCATTCGTTTAGGAGCTACAGTCTATAGCAACGCAGGTTTTTCAGCCGCCATCTTGAAACGTGAAACCTCAAATTTCGAGAGGGGATTTTTGAATTTTTGGTCGATCGCAATGTTTCATTTTTAAAAATAATAAACCAAAAATGTGCACATATGATACTTTTATAATGTAGTAGGTACACTGCTCTTATAAAAAACTTAAAGATGAAAACAATGAGGGAAGATATCCTCTCTGATAATCGTGGGAAAAGGGGGAGGGTTGACGAGTTTTTTTTTTTTTTTTTTTTTTTTTTTTTTTTTTTTTTTTTTTTTTTTTTTTTTGTTCTTCCCTACCTCGCCTTTTAGGCTATACGGGATTTTCCCGGGCCGGGGGGTTAGGGCGGGGAAATTTAAAATCCCCTCCGGTATCGGGACCAGAACTCGTACTTTTTATATCATCTCAAATCTCTGTTATCCGGTTGCCAGGCAACTAGCGGTGCTGTTACACACGCTTTAGTCTATTCGGCCACCCCGCCCCCTTACGCGTTGCCTACCTATCGATGAACTGAAAATTAAGGGTTCGATTCCCGGAACCGAGGGCTATTAACTCTAGAAATAATCTCCCACACTCTCATCTGATCCTGAAAAAAACGTATACTCAAAAAGGCAAGAAAGAAAGAAAAAAAATTGAATGGGACTCACCGGGATGGGTCTTGACGATGTCGACTAAGGCCGCAGCCGCATGTCGTTCAGCCACGAGCGCTTCCAAAGGCTTCGGCATCGCGTCGCCCAAGCCGTCGTAGCCGAAGTAGTTGTCGGACCTGATGTCGGAGACCAAGCCGTGGGCGGCCCCGCGGTGGACTGGTATCTGGGGGCTGAACTCAGTATCAGCGGGTACACAATGTACACCGGTACACGATGTACACCGGTACACAATGTACACCAGTACACAATGTACACCGGTACACAATGTACACTTATTCGATACTTATATAAGGTATGCAACTTCTACATGCGCACAAAGCACTCACTTCGGTTCGGTTGGCCACCTCCAGTGTCAGCCAGGCATTCTGGGTACCGTTCGTGACCCCCGTGTTCCCGGTGACGCAGGTGACCGCTATCAGCTGAGCGCGACTCTTCCCCGACAGCAGCATCAACATCGCCATGGCGTCGTCCGCTCCGGGGTCTGCATCGTGCACCACCATCAGCTGTTCTCTGCTATCGATGGCGGCGAGGTACCTGGAACAGGGTACGTTCGAATATCTACAATATAAAACTTTTGAGAGGGCCTACGTACGGTCAATGCGTAGTCCGTGTAATGATTTCAATTATTCAATTAAGAATCTTCAAACTGGTTAACATCAATATTTTTTGATTATTACAATATTTTCTTTGAGAATTATATCATAGAATTATTTTTTCCCCTTTAATTATTTATCCGCACCTGTAATGGAATTGACAATCAGCAGATGTGTTCTGATTATGAGGATAGGCATTAGGAAGGATAGTACCCAGCAGCACCTCTTCCTGGTCATTATTTATTTTTTTGATTTAGGTGAGGAGATCTCTCATCCAGCTCCTTTTTAGTCTCCTCCTGATGGGCATGTCAGTCGTAGCCATGTCGGTTATAAATCTGTTTGTGTGTCCGTGTAGTTTGAGATGAAAACGAGAGTAGAGAGTACATATGTGTTGGTCTATAGTTGGTTGTCGTAAGTCGTTATGTAAAGTTTTGTTGTTGACGTACCAGGGAGCTCCTGTTATAAGTCGTAAAATTTTGGATTGAAATGACTGTAGTTTTTGTAAGTGCGTCTTTTTTGCCGAACCGTAAATCTGAGAGGCGTATGTCCAGATGGGTTTGAGTAGGTAAGTGTATGTATTTAGTTTTTGTCGAACTTTCAATTTCGGTTTAGAAAAGAGTGAGTACAGTATTTTCAGTCGCTTGTTTAAGGTCTGTCGTTTCATTTTGAGGTGTGGGCCCCAGGTCATCCTTCTGTCGAATATTAGTCCAAGGTAACGTACTGTGTTTGTCAGAGTAACTTGGTTCTCTCCTAAATAAACGGGTGGGCACGTTTCTCGTCGAAGTCTAAATGTTATATGCTGTGACTTGTCATGATTTAATCTTATTTTAATCATATCATAGAATTATAGTTTTTACTTTTATAGTATACTAATTAATTTAGTTAATAGTTTATTATAGTTCGCTTTCTACAAAGAGTTATCTCGTAAGCGCCAGGTAATAATTCCTAAAGCATTTTTTGCATTAATTAATACTGAAGCTCTTTATACCAAATTAAAGCTCAATACATCGATATGCGTTTATAAAAAACTAGCTGTATCCGGCCGCCTGTTGCTGTGGCCCAGTCTGGTTGAATAGAAAAATAAAATAAAAAACATCTGGCGCGCGCAACACAAAACTTTCACTTACCGCTCTACTTTGAATAGAAATTAGAGGAGTAAAATGCAAAAATATATTGGTTATATCAATTATTAACACATAGTAACAAAGATTGCTAAGGATTAATAACTATTTTGCCTTAATTTTTATTTTAAGAAATCGATTTTTTTTTTTACCAGTCCTGGTCCTGGTCTTGCAACAGTTAGGCAGCCTTGGTCTTGGTCTTGCAAGACCAAGACTGATTTTGGGCAACACTAGTGAGATGTATTTAGAAGATTTAGAAAGTAGTGAGTTGGAATAGTATGAGTCGGTACCTGCTTAATTAAATCAAGCATATAATTAAAAAAAAAAACCGCTTATAGCGTCTCTTACCAATTTAAACCTTAGCCAGGGATCAAAGAATTAAACAGATATCAACAGGAGATTTATGCCTGTTTCAAGGATTAGCGGGGAGATAACACAGTGAACAGGTTTATGATCTAATTGGGCGTATAAAAGAGGTTTAATAAACGTTTTAAATATTGTTCAATGTTAAATATAGTTGCGCAACTACTGTCAGATTTAAACAATTATATATTACTAGTAGGCCCGTGCGAAAAATTCGCACAGCATATTGCTATAAAATGCCAAATTAATAAAAAAAGAAAATAATGCAAGAAATCAAATGTTACTTTATCGATAAATACCACCGACAAAGAAAACAGAAATTAATTTAAATCTTCATTTTTAATTGGAGCCAACATGTTTACAATTTTCAATAAGCTGTATCTTTGCTAAAAATTGTCCGATTTCGATGATTTTTTCTTCTTCATTTTTTGTCGAACTTTGTAATCTTTTATATAATCATGGGCATAACCAAGGGAAAAGTGTGTAATTTTGTAAAGTTTGTTTTCTTTCATAACTTGTTTGCCTGAATTTTCTGGGTGATTGGACTATTTTTATCGCCTCTAGAAGAAGAAAGCCTTCGAAATTGGTGGCTCAATCTTGAGATTTGGTGAAAAATTAACGGAGATATGGTTTGCCGAACAAAAGCACCATCGATAAATAATATAAACTCCTCCTCTCTCGATCATAGAGATCTCAAGTAGACGAAATGAGACATGTATTCAATGACAGTACTACAATTAATGTAAGGTTGTGTGGATGCGAATTCTATTCCTTGCGTTATCTCGAAAATGGTACGTTTTTGGGCTTAAGAACGCAGGATCCGGAGGAACTATCCGGGTCTTGCTGTACGCATCAAAATCTTCAAGATCCGATTTGTCTCGTAACGATCTACAATACTTACCACCGATCCAGTATTGAAGCCTAGAAAAATATTTGTATCGACTTTATTTATTTTATAAAGAAAAACAAAAGTGGAGAATACGATTCGCTAACCTCCCGTGAAATTTTGAATCCAACGGTACCCCATTCATGGTATTTGAGCATGACAGGAGCTTATATTTGGTACGAAACCGATTTCGAGCCTTACTGTAATGATATATGTGGGGATTTGTTCGAATTGGTTACCTGATAGACTCCGCAGTTATGACGGCCACTATCGACAGAACGAACACCGCCACCATCTTCTTCATGTAGCTGTCCATGGCTTCGGGTCGAGCTCTCGACCGGGTCTGCCAGCACCTAGCACGATGTTCGCCGAACAGGAGTGTCTATCTCTTGCGGCTTTCGTCATAACTACCTGATTTCATTTAAATTAGACTCCGCCCATTGTCTTATCTTTAATGCTAAAATGTCTTTCCCAGCTTATAAGTTTACTATTTTTTGAGCTTCAATAAGAAGGGAACACCGTCAAAAGACAGGCTACCTTATTAGAGAAACTATACGCAGTTTATGTACATACAAACTATTTTTTTTTTTAATCTGTTTACTGAGAAATAATACATTTTGCCACACTTAAGGGCACTGAGTACTAAGGCTGAGTGAGGCACATTCATACCATATATACAATACCATAAAACAATAGAAAATAAAGGAAATAAATAAAAAAAAATATATATACATCTATAAAACTAAATACGACATCGTTAATGAAAGCCGGTAAAGAACTAGGACTCTAAATAAACGTGGATAAAACAAAATATATGGTTAGCTGCAAAAATGGCGATACTACTGGTGATATCGATGTAGATGGTAATATGCTTGAACAGGTAGATAAATTTAGGTATCTAGGTTCAACGATAACTAGAAAAAACGAAATTGAGGAAGAGATTAAGGTTAGACTGAAGGCGGGAAATGCTTGTTATTTTTCTGTGACAAAACTACTTAGTTCGCGCCTCTTGTCCCGGAACTTAAAAATTAGAATCTATAAAACAATTATCTTGCCTACAGTTCTTTATGGATGCGAAACTTGGCCGCTTACACTAAGGGATGAACAGCGTCTTAACGTTTTTGAAAATAAAGTATTGCGTAGAATATTCGGACCGAAGAAGGATGAGTTAACCGGAGAGTTCAGACGGTTAAACAACGCCGAATTGCGTGAGCTGTATCCGGGTAATATAATTGAGGTAATTTCATCGCGGCGAATCAAATGGGCTTGTAAAGTTGTTGGGCTTAGTAACGAGAGAATTCCTAAAAGGTTAATATTTGCTGTGCCGAATGGTAAGCGTCCGAGGGGTAGACCGAAGCGAAGGTGGGAAGATTGCATCAAAGCCGATCTGAAGGGACTGGGTTTGGACGGCGAACGGTGGAGGGAGGTGTGTAATAAGCGATTGGTGGTGTCGGCATCGAACCTTCGGGTTCGCTAAGCCTTTTATTATTATCATTATTATTATTATTACATATATACATCTATATAACAAAGGCAAAAACTATAATAAACCAAGGAAATATAACTTAGAGTTAAAATTATATGAAATACAGAAATTCGTAGCAAAATTAAATAAATTATAAGTAATAGAAACAAATAGAAAACATTCATACTTAAATACAATATTTACAATCAGGCAAGAGATCTCCGAGTCCACGGAGCCCTTTCTCCCACGTGTGAAGGACAAAGCGAGACTCTAAGAGATTACCAGTCCGGTGGAGACTGAGAGAGGGCACTAAAACCACAAACACTCATGACTTGAGTGGAGAAGCTGGCCATTGCTAGAACTCCAGTGACGTCTTTACAAGAGATCTCGAGGCCACTGCCGTTTCAACCTTCGAGGAGGGTTGTAGGGATGACTGGAGCTAGATAAGGATTGTGCTAAAGGATTAGGATGGTGGATTAGGGGACATATAAACTAATATTTAATATGTAACGTATGAAAATATTGATAATACATTATTAATAAAATATATTATTAATATTTATATTAATAAAATGTATTATTAATATATATATATATATATATATATATATATATATATATATATATATCATTATATAAATAGGCAAACACAATTCGGTTCAGCCCCTTTTACTCCTCTATTATTCAACCGATTTTCTTCATTCTTTTTTTGTTTAATAGATATTGACGAGATTTAGTGTTATCAATAATTAAAAATATTAAATATTTTTTTTTAATTTTATTGAATAATAATACAATCAGCCACTGCTGGAGAGCTATAAGTATTAAGGCTAGAAGTTCTCATTCATACAGTATATACAAGTAATAAAGAAATAACTATAAAAAGTAAATAAATAATACTGATAAAGGAATTTAAATCAATAGCAAAAAAAAAAAAATAAATAAATAAATAAAAACTTCTAAACACATTCATTCCTATATACAATATATACATTCGTCCAGGAATCTCCGAGCCAGGCTTTTCTCCCCATATGTAGAAGGCAAAGCAGGACTCCAGAGATCCCAGTGCCACTTTTCCAGCCGCATCACTAATATTAGAAGCCAGTAGAGGCTGAAGGAGGGCACATACAAATTTATAACAATTTAACTATTTATGAATAAATTTTTGTCATGAAAAATCGATTCAAATTCATTTTTGAAAAACACTAAAACTCTTAAATACGAGTTTACTTTGCAATAAAAAAATATATTTTTTTCGACTCAATTTTATGGGAGGATTGTTTCCTAAGTCGACGCTACAACACCCGCTGGAAAGCTCAATTATTGCTCCTTAAAACTGATGGATTTTATTTATTTATAAGGAATAAATAATTAAAAACTTCCCAAAAGTTTTTATTTTTTATCTCCAAGCCTAATTTGTTTGCGGCCGTCTAGTTTGTGCTATTTTGTGTGTATTATAGATCCCTAAATTCATGCTAATTTTCGTGTAGATGAGTGGAGCCTTGTCGAAGTTATCGCATTTTTTGTGATTTTCGAAGACAAACGAAGGGCGAAAAGATCCTGCAAAAAAAAATATATATATATTTTGCGATCGGTATGAAAATTCTTATTTAAGGGTTTTTCGATGTGAGAAATACAAATCTCAACTTCGTTTTAGCTTAAAAAATATTTTTAAACCACTTTATTCCTAAGGTCAGTACTAATTGTTTCAATATTGTACTCATACTATAGTTGAGTGCCAAATATATGTATATATTTTTCTGAGCTGTATATATTTAAATATCAAAAGTTATAGTACATGCACAAAATCTGGTATTTCTCCGCTAGGTGATGTCGTGGATTTGAGATAAGGCACGGGATTAGCGAAGGCACATGTCTTCTTCGAATAATTTTGAGCTCCTATCTTTATTAATATGTCTTCTAATTCCATACTTATATATATAGCGAAAGTGTTGGTTTGAAGGTTCAAAAAAAAAAAAAAAAAACCTGCTCTCAAGTTCATATTGACAACCAGATTCCTCAGACGGTCACGACATACTAAATTCGACAAGATGTCATTTAGAGTAAGCACACCATTGATGGAAATAGCTAAGGAAATTATTGTATTTTTTTGGCTTATGCTGCCGTAATTATTATATGTATACACTTCCTCGTTGAGTTACGGAATGGACTTAATCCGTAACAAATAAGAGTATTAATTTAACTTTTATTTTAATGATTAAGTTTGTTAAATATGCCAATTGCTGAATCGTGTATTGTATTGGTGGTTCTCATGATTCAAAGGATAAAAGAACAAAGCTATCCCTAGATAGCCAGGTGATAGCCATCTCTGATAGCTTAGATATAGTTATCTAGAATGTATCGACTGGACAGAAGACCCATTATCGAGACTTAGGGAACAATAACAGATTTCAGCAAAAGAGCACTTTCTCACAGACCTCATCTTAACAATATTAACTATCCATAACTTCTTCTTATTTTTCTTTCTTATTCTCTTTATTATTTCAACCTTCTCAGTTTCTTTCCTCCTTCCTTTCATCCCTCTGTTTTAACTCTGTATTATGTTGTCTATACATCTTGATAGACTTTACAACATCTCAATTTTCTATCTAACTATTCTATTCACAATATCTTAATTTTACTGTTTATTTCCATTTCTTATATAACTTCATATTTTTCTGTTCTTACATTTATGTCACTTTTTTTATTTTTTATTTTTTTTTTATTTATTTTTTTTTTATTTTTTTTTTATGTTTACTTCATCATTCCACACTTTGTACCGCTTATTATCTTTTATCTCTTTGTTCTTACTATTGTCATTATTCTAACAACTGAATTTTACTTTAATTTTTTTACCTACACTTCTTATGTTTCTCGTACCTTGTTATCTGGTTCTTTTCTTAGCACTGATGATGGCCTGAATTTCAGGTCGAAACGTCGGCTAATGTCAAAATAAATATTATCATTTATTTTTGCCTTCTTTTTGACTGATCACCCCAACTATTCTTCTCTTCATTATTCACGACAGTCAACCATTTACCAATTATGTATCCATAACTTCCTTTGCCGTCCTCTTCCGACTTCATCCCCTTCCTATTCCTGGGTATATAAACTCCATGCTCCTCTGGACTCAGCACTCTTGCAGTCACATTCTTACTAGGAGACCCATATATCCATAGTATATTACTCTGTATGTTAGATGCCATTTGTAACAGACATTATGAATAAAAATATTACTTATAAAGTCTTCACTGCCTCCGATTCGTTAACTGTTGAACATTTAGAATCTCTAGAATATCCTTTTTTTATTTAACACTTTAAAATTGAAAAAAATATTCCGTTATGCAGATATAATGTTCATTTAAAAAAAAAACATCGTTTTTCACTAGTGATGAACACCCCGAAATTCAATTGTTCTAGTAATGAACAATGATGAGTATATAGCTTCCTATTGTATCTATCTCGAGTTTATAGAGTACTGTTTCACTGCCACTGCTCAATATAAGATACTATAATAATATAATATTACAATTCTAAAGTGTATAGCTTTTTTCTTAAGGTAATGTTTCGCAGCCACCAATCGTTACTGCTGTGCATTCTGCTTAAACTGCTCATCGTAACGTCCAAGTCAACTTTCAATTAACTTCCTAATTTAAATATTCAACATTAATTATTAGCTAAAATATTTTAAAATTAAAACTTTACATTTAGGGTAAGCTGACCAGTGATGGACATAGCTAAGGAATTTTTTCTATTTTTTGCCTTATACCGCCGTAATTATTATAGTTATTCAAACCTCCTTGCTGGGCATTTAGAATCCTAAGGGTCTCCTTCTTCTATTTAAGACTTCAAAATTGAAAAAAATATTCATTTATGCAGACATAATATTCATTTAAAAAAAACATCTTTTTGCAGTGGTGGACATCCCGAAATTTAATTGTTCTAGTAATCGACAGGAGATCGGTATTAGCAATTTACATATCTAAAAAAAAATTCTAAAATTTTTATTTAAATATAAAGATAACTTAAAAAAAAAA